ATCCACTTCACCGACCACTCATCTAGGCCACACTTCCTGAGCTTCCCTAGGAGGATATCATGGGAGACTGTGTCGAAAGCCTTGCTGAAGTCAAGGTAGATAACATCCACAGCTCTCCCTTCGTCTACCCAGCCAGTCATGTCATCGTAGAAAGCTATCAGATTGGTCAGGCATGATTTCCCCTTGGTGAATCCATGCTGCCTACTCCTGATAACCTTCTTTTCTTCCACTTGCTTGATGATGGCCTCCAGGATAAGCTGCTCCATCACCTTTCCCGGGACGGAGGTGAGGCTTAGTGGCCTGTAGTTCCCTGGGTCCTCCTTCTTGCCCTTTTTGAAGATTGGAGTGACATTGGCCTTTCTCCAGTCCTCGGGCACCTCTCCTGTCCTCCAGGACCTCTCAAAGATGATGGAGAGTGGCTCAGCAATGACATCCGCCAGCTCCCTCAGCACTCGTGGGTGCATTCCATCGGGGCCCATGGATTTGTGGACATCCAGATCGCTTAAGCGATCCCTCACACAGTCCTCCTCGACCAAGGGAAAGTCGTGCTCTTTGTAGGCTTCTTCTCTTACCTCCGGGGCCTGGGATTCCTGAGGGCCAGTCTTAGCACTGAAGACTGAAGCAAAGAATGCATTCATTAGCTCTGCCTTCTCCGCATCCTCCGTCACCAGGACACCCGCCTCATTCAGCAGCGGCCCCACGTTGTCCCTAGCCTTCCTTTTGCTGCTGATGTAGTTGAAGAAGCCCTTCTTGTTGTTTTTGACATCCCTTGCCAGCTTCAATTCCAGGTGAGCCTTGGCCTTCCTCGTCGCATCCCTGCATGCTCTCACCACGTTTCTGTACTCTTCCCAAGTGGCCTGTCCCTCTTTCCACATTCCATGGACCTTTCTCTTCTGCCTGATCTCCGCTAGAAGCTCCTTGTTTAACCATGCAGGTCTCCTTCCTCCTTTGCTAAATTTCTTTCTCAGGGGGATGCATTGCTCCTGTGCATGGAAGAAGTGTTGTTTAAAGAGCGACCAGCACTCATGGACCCCCCTGCCTTCGAGAGCCCTGGCCCACGGGATTCCTCCCAGTAGCTCCTTGAAGAGGGCAAAGTCAGCCCTCCTGAGGTCCAGGGTTTTGATCCTGCTTATCGCCCTGCTTCCTCCTCGCAGGATCCTGAACTCAACCATTTCATGGTCACTGCAGCCGAGTCTACCTCCAGCCTTCACATCCTCCACCAGTCCCTCCTTGTTTGTTAACACGAGGTCCAGCAGCGCGCCTTTCCTTGTTGGTTTCTCCACCTTGCATCAGAAAGTTATCATCGGTGCTCTGTAGGAACCTCCTGGATTGCGCCTGCCTAGCTGTATGGTCTTCCCAGCTGATGTCAGGGTGGTTGAAGTCCCCCATGAGAACCAGGGCCTGTGACTGTGAGGCTGCTTGCAGTTTCTAATCAAGGAACTGGAATCCACAAGATGAAGATCATTATTATTTCATGTAATAACATTTTTGTGGTCTTTTATCTTTTAATTTTTCTCTGTAGCATGTGAGAGAAAAAAGAGACAGAGAGAAGAAAGTATTTATCATTTTATGAAAATTGGAAGCCACATCCTGTAAAGTAGGAAGGAGTATCAGATGTTAGAATTAGTGTGACGTATGCAAGTTCATTTAGATCCCTGCTTCATGGGCAGTCTTTCAATTTAACATTTTTGTGGTCTTTTATCTTTTAATTTTTCTCTGTAGCATGTGAGAGAAAAAAGAGACAGAGAGAAGAAAGTATTTATCATTTTATGAAAATTGGAAGCCACATCCTGTAAAGTAGGAAGGAGTATCAGATGTTAGAATTAGTGTGACGTATGCAAGTTCATTTAGATCCCTGCTTCATGGGCAGTCTTTCAATTGCATTGCAGTGTATTTGTTTGGGGAGGACTAAATAATGCAGGTGACAAGATGATGCCTTAGTATTTATTATTTTTTGAATACTGGACTTTGGAGCCCTATATATTTAAACTTTATTTGTATGTTTGTGATATTAACGAAGTACAATAAAATTAATTAAATTAAAACAATTTAAAAACACAAGTAACTGGTATTTTAAACTTCAAATTAAAGGCACAAAATTTCATAGTTTAGATAGTGTATTTGAAAGCAAATTTATTTTCATTCAAATCTCAAACCTGGACTTCTTAATTTGGACAATACTGTTTCTGGGTAACCTATTATTAATTTAGCAAATGATAACTGTTGAGCTTTTCTAAAGAGACATTATTCTATATCCTTACCCATTTAGTTCAGCATTACAGTTCTGTGGCTTATATGTGAAAAGATGTTTTTTCACAGTCGTGTTGAAAGCTAGTTGCCTGTTTACCTCGTAATGTCCTCCCTGTTTATAACAATTCTGCAGTTGTAACTGACCCACAGGTCTGTGGGTGGTTCAGGCTGAAGAAAGCGGTACCTGCTTCATGCTCCTGTAGAAGTAAAATGTTTTTATAGATCAGCTCTTACTGGATTTTGCTGAGCTCAAATCAAGTCCATTAGTAGAATAAACAGAGAACTTTAATACGCTAGGAGGATATATTGAGTAGGAAGTTACGTTCCTGCTTTGTTACCATCAACATGAAGCCTGAGAGCTGACTTTTCCTTTAAACATCGTCATAACAGAAGTTATCAAAATAATTGCAAAGACCTTATAGGAAGAAATCTAAAATAATATCTTTTTTAGACAGCAATAAGCATGTAGAGAGGAGTTTAGTATTTAGCAGGTTTTAATCCTGGCTCCTGCCTTTCCAGTGCTTTTGCTTTAAGAACCAGACTCAGCCAAAGCAAGTGAGAGTCTTCTTCAGAGCAGAACTACTAGGTTAACAAGGTTTCAATAAAGATTTTTTCATCTGTTTTATGAAAAGTGTTTTTACTTGTGTTGATTAGGCTTTAAAATAACTTGAAAGCATTTGAGATGATGAGCCAAACTTGTGCTGTAACTGAGCATGGGCTCACTTCTCCAAGTCCTGCACAAGAATTTAGGGAGAATTTTCCCAGGGAGGGGGTTACAAGATCAGTTATTTTTTGCTGTAGGAATTACTCCTTAATAGCAGGTATCTGGGCTTGCAGCCACTGTTTCGTGGAATGTGTTAGGGTTAAGGTTGCTCTGTGCTAATTTTAAAATGCTCTTTCGTAACTTTTGAGTGTTAACATATTGCTTCTCCGTAGGGTGACCCTGGGCAGCCTGGGAATCATGGTTATCCTGGTCAGCCTGGTCCAGATGGTAAGCCTGTGAGTACTAAAAACTTAGTCATATATTGTAAATGCAAAACTAACAGGAGAAAAAACATGTACCACTGATAACAGATTTTCAAATTTAGATTATTTTGTCTCCATTCTTTGAAACTGTGAATGTCAGTTAAGTGCTATCTGAATGTAACAATTCTGTGAATTTGTTAGTGTTCTTATTTCAAGCTCAAATATTGTAAATATGACAGCATGAGTTAGGCACTGTTGTAAATCAGAGAACAGGCTATGAGTGCTCCTGTTGGTCTTTGCATCAATTTGCAGTAGTTACCACCTTCTGACCTTCAGTCTTTACTGCTTAAGTGTTTTTGCATGAGATAACACTTTACAGCAGCTAAAATCCTGCCTGTTTTCTTTTAGAGATTGCTTCTAATGTTTAAGCTTGGTTCATTTAATTTCTTTTTAGGCTGCCTCAAGTAGTCCATCAAAATATGTAGATATGCATATACAATGTTAAAAATATAGATATTTTGCCATTCTAAACATTATGTGTTAAAACATACGTCATAAAAATACCTGTGTTTTTCTCTTACACGAGATTTGACTTTTTAAGCTGGCATTCCATTATTATGGATGGTAAAGACTGGAAGAAAGTAGATGAATAACATATGTCCCTAAAATAAACACAGCAGATTTGGCAGTGCCTCGCCTGGTCTTCATGGTTAACATTTTTCATTGTAATAAAAGCAAAGAAATGTATAAAAGTAGCCTAAGGTATCATTAAAAAATATGTTAGATCTCTGAATCTAACTGGAAACCTCTAAGGTTTTGGCACCCAAGCTTGTCCGTTGAGTAAGGTTTTATTAACAGCCTGCAGTCTCTGTATCATGAAAGTGGTGGTATGCGTATGCCTCTGATGTGTAAAGAGAAGGCAGACCAAAAGCTGGGAGACTTGACCACCCATGTTTCTTTTCTAAGAATGTGGCCTCTGATACTGCTTACTACTCATTAGAAACTTTTTTATTTATATTAAAAAAAAAGAAAGAAAGGGAAAAGAAAAAGAAAGTTGGGAGCATTAAAAATAATTTGCTTCTGAAAAGAGGATAATTTCTTTGCTTGGATTCCAAAAGCAGGAAAACAAAAGTGCATGCATATACTAGAAATCCCTTGTAGCTTTTCATTCTTATTGTGAGGACTAAATTTTGTGGTTGAGTCCTTAGGTTGTAGTGTTATTCTGGTATCTCCATGGTGAAGTAGAAGAGAAGGTAAGCATCATGTCTTGAAATCCACAGAAAATAGTTGGGGAGGAGTCCCAAATACTACTGAGAATAAAAATATAAGATGTCCCAAAACGTTAGAAAATATAAGTGGATGAGTGCAGAGAAGACAAAATCATTTATGAAAGAAGCATTGGATTATGGACTGGGGAACTAATAGTCTACGGATTTGTTTGAGACTTAGAAGGGATGTTAAGTTATTTTGGGCCACTGTGGTCCACACTTGACAAACTAGAGAGACCTCAGAGAAGAACAACAAAGGTCTGAACTGAACCTTTCAGCTTCACACTCTTAGGAATTTTTCTGTCCTGTGGAAAGTTTCATGAGGATATTGTCACTTATCACAGGCCTTTCCAAAATCTGCCCTTGCTTAGCAATTTTAGTACCTCTGTCATGTTATTCCTGTACTGCCCACCAACTTCAATGGCTTCAGAAAAACACATAACTTTCTATTTTTTATAAGAATTTTTAATACTAGTAATACATTTCATTTCTATGTCAGCTAAAGATGGAAACAGTGAGATTGCTAGTTACTTGGAAGTGTGTATGCTGCAAGGGTGATAAATATTACCAGTTACAAAGAGAAAGCTCCGTGCTACACGTTATAAAATGTTCACATTTCTCTTATTTTGTTGCTTAGTTACTTGTTGGCCTTTTCTTAGGGATAGCAGCTGCTTCATTTAACTGTGGTGATTCCTTTTGGAAGCAGAGTTAGTTTGATAGGAAAAAAAAGTAGGTACTGAAAACAAGAAATGCAATTGTTTCTGAAAATTCATCTGTTTTAAAATATGGGACTGGGTATATTGAAACCCGGCCATGGTAGCCCTGATGGCCCAGGAGAGCAGTGAGTATATGAATTTTTCAATAGTTCCACAGGAAAAGATCCTTATTTTCCTGTGATATAGAAACATTTGTATACTTTTGCTTTTGTCTTAAACAGCATTTGATAGCTATTATCATAAAAATTTTGTGGAACTGGAAATAGAGAAAAAATCTGAATTGAAATTGTCAGTGCTGTAAAATACTACATTTTCGTTCCAGAAAATCATGAAAATCCAGGTTTTAAAACAGGAGTGGGTGGAATCTGAACTGGGGAAGTGTCATCTAATCAGAATAACTTTTCAGTTGATTATTGATGGTGCTTAAGTTCTGAAGAGTAGTCCTGTTCTATACAAAGATAGGTATAAAAACTCTCTCAGCCTGGAGTTCTGTGGGAGAAGGTGTCCATCACAGTTTGACCATGCCAATTGCTAGAAGTAGACCTGCAGTGTGGATAAGCATAGCAGAGCTGTTTTAAATCCAGCCACTTCTGATATTGTGAAAAATAAAGTGATATTGTGTAAGTTTTAGTGAAGCCAGAATGGACTGGATATTGGTAGGGAATGGTAGGGAACGGCTCATTCCATTCTCTCTCTTAAAAAACAGATGAAGACTTTATTTCTGAAGTGTCCAGTCAGCTACAACGGTATTGTTTTAGAAACAATTTGTTAAGACTTTTTCATACTTTTATTAACAGGTTTCCACTTCAGTGCTATATATCTTCCCATAAGCACTGAGATTTGTAACATTGTGAATCATGAGGGAGAAATAAATTGATATCGTAGTCTCTCTGTAACTTCGCAATCTGGCAGTTAGTGAGTATGTGCATAGATGGGCATTCTCTGAACATAAAAAAGGTTAACAAAAGTATCTCAGACAATTAGAATAGAATCAAAAAGCCCTGCTAAAGGAGAAATTTTACCATTTTGCTGAACGGAAGTTCATATGTTATTTAAAGTGCTTGCAGTTAAATCCTATATCTTTGTTAACTTATATTTTTGAAAAATCAGCTGTAGCTTTTTGCACTTGTTCTTTGTAAGGACATAATTGCAAACCTATTAGATCATTTGCAGCTCTGGCCAGTACATTATTGTTCCTTACAGTAGATTCTTGAGTGCTTTCCAGGCTAGCTTTTAGCCATGAATGATGGGAGACCCTTTAGATACACAGTGCAGGAAAGCAGATTCCTCTCTCTGTCTTTTTCTTTCTGTTTTACTTATTTATTTGCTAATATGACTTGCATGTTTTCTGTGCTGTCAGTGATTTGCCTTGTTTGAGGTAACTTTGCTCATATGCATCATTTAGCTGTGTTCCCTGGGGAACTCTGAAAAGCAAGCTCTTAATTCAGACAGCACAATAGGCTTACAGGTAGTTGTGTAGTCAGTGTTGTTTAATCGAATGGCTTTTGCATGAAAAGCTTTTCCTGGAAAGTCAGTCTTTTCTGTTCCCAAGCACATTTTTGTGTTCTTCTCTAATGTTATTCCAGTTTGCCTATCTGGTATTCATTTTCTTGGAACAGCATAACTGGTCAACAAAATGTTTCTTCCTCTGAGAAAGGTTTTAGCATGCATTTGTATTACTATATGTAACTGATTTTTAAAGTAAAACATCAAAGAAAATTTAGTTTATTTTTTGCGGGCTGGCTAGATTTTTGTAGTACTTAAAGTTAGTTTCAGTCCAGAAAAATTCAAAACAATTCCCATGAATATCTTCAATATTACCAGAAAAATTTCACGCGGTGTTACCCAGTAAAATTATTTGCTGTAGTATTTGGAGAAGTGAATATAAACATGGCTCATTTTCAGTCATTCTTTAATTGTTTTTTTAAATAGCTTTTTTTATAGGTTGTTTGTTTTTTCCCTTTAATTGCCACCTCTGTTTATTTTCCATACTACGATATGTACAGAAAACATTAATTGAAGTAACTAGAGAAGAATACAGAGGTGAGAAGCATAATAAGTAATGAAAATACATTTTTTTTCAATCAAAAATGCCATTCAGGACCTCAAATGCTTGAATTATCTTGTCAGGAAAAATAGCATTGGTAAAGAAGCACAAGGGTAAAAACAGTATTTGAGTCTCAACTGGAACTCATTTTAAAGGACATTATTCATCAGAAAGAAGCAGCTGGAGTGGTTGCTGGCCCTGAGAATGCTTGTCAGCCTGACTGTGCGGTCACAAAGCCATTTTTTATTCAAAAGGATACTTTATATGTACTGGGGAAAAACTCAAGTTAAGGGGAAAAATAAATAGATTCTATGCAGTGGTCACTTGTGGTTAACACAGGTGATAGGGTACTGGTCTGCTGAGAGAAATGAAAAAGTACACTCATTTGTCAGTTTTGAACTTTGAACCACACGGCTGGCAAATCTAGATGATTTTCCAGTATTCCATGTAGTTTCATTCATGAAAGTTTGGAACCATTTGCCTTGTCTTTACAGTGTCCACAAGCAATAAGCAGTTTAAAAATAATCTGGTGAGACTGATTTTACTGATATACCCAGATAAAGACTTCATAAAGTATCAAAAGCCTCACAAAATAAGTAATTTCTGATCATTCCAATATTTCTTTTTAAAAAACTGTAGAACATCATCAGAGCTGTACTGTCTAGAGTTTAATAATATTTGGTGACCAACTGAAGGCCAAATCTTCTATGATGCACTAAGTATAACGGCAACGGCCAGCTTTTTCAGCAGTACTTTTGGAATAAATATGGGTAACAGTTTCATGTATACATAGGATTACCTGTGCTATTGGATGGTTTGCCTGGGGATTTAAATTGATACAAACTCTGCAGCTACTTTTCTTAGGAATCTTTTACAGACGTAGTTGACAATTCAGCTTTAAAATACTGCTCTTAATTCCAGAAAAGTAAATACTCCTCAGTAACACAGTGACGGTGTTGTTATAGAATCATGGAAACATAGAATGGTAAGGGTTGGAAGGGGCAATATGTTTGCTCCGTTCTGACTAATGCAGTCATGCAGTGGCTTCTCTGAGACCTACTACTCTGAAATAAGGGCAATGCCTGATGCTGACTTGTGTTGCATACAGCTATATATTTCAGACAAAAGACCGTATGACTGTCTTCAGCAGTGGCCAAGGCCAGATGATGCTAGCGGCTCTGAGCTCTGAAAGCCTTGGCAGATGACAGAGTAGCCAATGGAAGGAAGTATAATCAAATGGAGAAAGGATTTAACAGGCCAAACCAAAACAAAGCAATAAAAGGCAACAGACAAGGCAATGAAAACTCTTTTCTGTACTTTGCCGATGATAATGTTCACGGGATTACAAATCTGTGATCAGGAGTCATGCCCAAATTTATGTTGGAGAGTAAAAGCTGCATTTAGTTACCTTTGTGTTCTAATGCTGGGCCTGCCCTTCGTTTTCGTGTTTTGGTATGTGTAGACAGAGGGGCTTCACTTCAGAGACAGTTCTGGTAGCCTGCAGAAGCAGGTGCCACTAGAAGTTGTTCTACAGGGCCATGCTGTTCAGCAAAGGGAGGAGAGAGGACGTGACACTTGTTCTGAGCTCCTGAGTTACCACAGCTTAAGAAAGTCCCGGAGAAGGGAGTAAGGCCCAGGTTCGAAGGAGACCTGATGGAGAGGACCGCATGACTGATCCACATGTCCGAAGAGCTGGGAAAGAGAGAAGCAGTAGGCAGAGGAGTACGAGCATAGTGAGGTGTTAGAGAAGGCAGGATGGGAAAAAGTCTCCTTGGGAAAAGGAGGAGGAAAGACCTGAGTCAAAAACATCAGATGATAAGCAACTTCTCAGAGAAAGGCTAAAACACTTAATTCGAATATGCCAACTACTTTCTAACATTTCTGTTGCCTCGCAGGGCTGTAGTTACTGATATTGCCAGTGAGGGAGAAGGTCATAGCATGACTGCAAATTTGAGTGTAGGTGTGGATGCAAGTCTGAATAACTATAAGAAGTTCTGTCCTTTAAGATGTAATGTGTTTTATGGATGCTTTAGATAGTTGTACTTCAAATGTACGAAAATTCTCTGCAAGAGAGTTCCACAAGAGGTCCGCAGACCTCTCTGTCAGGATATTTTCCTAACACCAAGTTAAATTTTTCTTTTGCAGTTGAATTCCATTATGCTTAGTTACATCACCCTAAATAGTTCTGTTTACTTAGTGTTTACAGTCCTTAAATATCTTTAGACCATTGCTGTTGATCTTGGTTATTTCCTAGCCAAATTGAGCTTGTTTACTTCTCCCTCATCTTTCCCAAGTAGTCCTGTTGTCACGCCTTTGTCGTTTGTGTCCTTCAGTGACTCCAAAAGCTTTTCAGCAAGGAAGTGTGCAGTGCAGTTGTTACTGACTTCTCAGTATGTCCACTGTTTTTATTTTTATGTTTGTCTGATGTGATAGACCTATGAATGCTGTCGGAACTTTTGTCCTTTAGGCATGCAAGTGCATTGAAGATATACTTATGAGGTTTACTCTGCTATTTCACCTAAAAGTTCTTTGGAATTAATACTTGTCATATATCCTTGTTGCTCAATTTTTTTCGCTACAGGTAAACTAACTTTCATTTTCCAGCAAGGCTCTTAATTCACTGATGGTGACAGTATTGCTAATTTGTCTGTGTCCTTTGTGTAAGTTCTTTGGCCTAAGAAGTCTGTTCAACTTTTTCCGTTACAATTATTTGTAAATTATTGCCATTTTCTTTAAATTCCAAAGACACATTTTATGTGTGATTTTTTTAAATGCTTAACCATCTGGTACAAAACTAAGCATCTCAGTATCTTGCTGTTTATCAGTTTGCCTTTACAGATTTTCAGGCACTAGGAATTTATCAGTACTGTTCCCACCCACAACAAACTGAGAGGGAGATTTTGTATGATCCTGATTTCAGTTGCACTGATGTAAAATAATTAATGTGAATATAAACAACATGCTGTGGAGTAGTACTGATGGACGACATTGATAAAACATTATAGATGGGATTCAGTTTAAGACACCTAAATTTAGCATTTACATGTGTACAGACACTGGGTGTCTAAATTCCCATATTAGTCAAGACATATTTAACTAATATACCCCAAGAAGTATGGGATTCTTACGCTGTAAGGTATTTTGTCTTGCCCATGCTGCTGCTTCAAAAGGGTGAATACCTCCCAAATATTTTGTGCCACTATCTTCTAACACTGGGTGAATGTCTAGGAATCTCAAAAGGCAGGAGCTGCCTGTGTTTAGGCGACTGGATTCAAAACTGAGTGTGAATTCAGGTTTACTATAATACTTTTCACACCATTCGTGTCTCTTCTGAAAAGTTCATGAGAGAAGATCAAGTCCAAATAAAAAGTATTCTTTTTGGTGGCAGATTTAGTGCTTTCACCTTATTTGAAAGTGAACCTTCAATCTTGAATGATCTATGTCAATTGAAAAGGGAATTTTGACTTCTGTCCCTTTTACGTGAAATGTCAGCTATGGCACAGCTGTTCTCGGAGCGTGTGCATATATGTCACATACATACTCCTATAGAGGGCTTTGAGGTTAGGGAAAAAGGACTTGAGCTGACTTGAGTGCAAAACAATTGTGGGCGTTCACATGTAGATTGATGATCCATACTGCAAGAGGAGTAGTGATACAGAGTACATGCTCAGTTCTTATGAAATGTAGTTTTCCTAATTTATAAAAGGTGTTTTTAACTTGTCCAAACAATTGCTGCATTATTTGTACCAGGAAGTGATTCTCATTTTTGTGACTTTCTGTGAATTGCCTTTTGAATCTTCTCTGTTCCTGCTTTCTGTTAAACAAACACACTGACAATGTGTTTGATTTGCTCTGAAATCACATTACAAGATCTAGCTCTGAGCTAAATATGCCATTTTGTAAGCTGAAAACTCTTCTGCCATCCTACTTTCATCTCATGAATTTTGAAATTCAGTTCAGCCAGGAAATTGTCCTCCTCTACTTCTTCCCCTACTAAGTTAGAAGGAGAAGGAAGGGAAATTGCATTTCAGAAACCTAAAATATGAAATAAAGTTTTATTTATATAGTATTATGTCCCACAGGAAGTCATACAAACTTTTTGCTTTTTTTGGAAAAGAAATAAAAGGATGAACTTTTAAAGGCATTTTTTTGACTTGGTGAATTGTTTCAGCTACCCAGGAGGCTTATAAGCAATCTGGGAATGCTACACCATGTAGAGTTAAAGCTGATTTTGCTAGAACTGCCTTGAGCACTTAAACGCTTGATAAAGAACGTGTATATGGCAGAGACCTAGAATGCTGTTTACTTCTGTACTAAACATTACCAGCTGACTCTTTGGGCATCTGCTCAAATGTCTTTTGGGAAGAGGGCACAGCAAGTACTTTCTTGTATCTAACCCAGCAAATAATTTTAGCTCTGTTTATTATTCCCAGGAAGCTCTGACTGATTTAAAGAAGAAATCAGACATACACATTGCCTTCTTTATATTGAAAAGGTTGTACTGACTCCTTTTTATCAGTGTGGAAATCCCACCATTAAATTTGTGCTGAGTTTTTGAGACTGGAACCCATTTAGAAATAGGGTTATTAGTTCTTTCAGTTCCAATCAAGGTCAAATTCTGGGTATTTGAAATTGGATAGTCCATTTTATAGGATATATCAAATTTAATTTGGGCTGCCTGTTGAAAGTTCTGAGCCAAATAGCTTCAGAATTTTATAGGACAATTTCTTTTCTTGTTTTGTGTATTTTCTAAACAAAACCCTCTTTGTAGCTCATTGTATTCTTTGGAATTACGTGTTTTTAATGGAGCGAGATAAAATTCCTGTTCTTCCACTTACTTGCCTCATTTAAAGGATTCTTCTGAAGGACTTGTTAATTTTGCATAAAAACTGGCTATCTTTGCTATACTCATTGAATCCAATCTGCCAGAACACCTCAGACATATATTTTGGGATCTGTAAAGGTTCTCTTGTTCTGCCAATGCTGATTTCTAGTAAAACATTTCTGAAATTCTGTTTTCAACTCACGAATTATTTAGTGTTTCTTTTCATAGTCCCAGTCATTCAAATTATTTTTTTACTTACATAGCCTGTTATATACCTTCAAGTTCATAGCGAAGTGCTTAGTATTCAGAATGGAATTTTTATTGTTTAGAGATATTATAAAACTAGCTGCATAAGGTATTAGAACATCCCTTGTTTGTTAAAGCTTATTCCTGTAACTGGAAATAAGCCTTTAAAAGTCCTGGCATTATTCAGCTATTTTTCATGAGAGAGAGAGGGGAAGAAAAGTGTCTACGTATGTGGGTTTATTTGTGGTTTGTTTTTTTTTTCCTCCAGTGGGGAATAAAACAATACATTTGTTACATTCTCATGTAACAATTCTAAAATAACGGATTTTAGCATAAAGTCTGAAGGCTGCAAACTTCAGATGCAGAGGTGAAAGCTTCTGAAAGCTGGAATCAAATTCTTAAATGTATGACTGTGATAGCATTCACTGAAATTTGTGACCTAAATTGACAGAGTTGTGATAACAGTTCTCTAGTAACCAGGAGGAATGTTTTTTCGTTATATAGATGTTTGGAATTTTTTAAAATATAACTTATGAAAAGTAATAAGTCTTGGTTTCTTTTCCTTAGGGATATCAGGGATTAGCAGGAACTCCAGGTATCCCAGGAACTCCAGGGATTCAAGTAAGTTTGTGTTTTATTCGTAGAATTTGAAAATCTGAGACAAATCCTGCCAACTCTCTCATGATGCAGTCTGTGTGGATAGTTGAGGACTTACTAATTTGTTGAATTAAGTATCTGAGAGCATGCTGGGACCAAGAGCAAGCCTGCAACATCTGAAGGCTGGCTGATGGACATTTGAAAGGAAGGGGGCATCTGTGGACTAGTACAGACCGTGTGATGTCCTTTTTTCCTGGGGTGGTCCTTGGTTAGAGCAAAGAATTATTTTGATGTTCCCCGGTTATGGGTTATGAGTGTGCCATATTCATACATGCTGGATACATTTCATGCTTGGTTCTGCTTTTGTATCCAGTTACCAAAATGTTGTGATCGGCCATCTGACACATCAGAGCCCGAGTCATGTTGTATTACATTTCTACATCTCATTCTGTATCAGATTGTATTAATATTTGATCTGGTTTTCATTTTTTCTCTCTTAGGGACCACGTGGCTTACCAGGTATCAAGGGAGAGCCAGGGAAAGATGGGGCTAAGGTAAAACAAACAAAACAAAACAACAACAGAAAAGAATAATAGAGAAAAAGCTTTTACCCTTACCATTTATCATTTTTGGTGGTACAATTAATAGCATCAATATTTTCACAGGAAGCTTCTATGAGATTTTTTTAATACTAAAAAGGTAGTAAAGAAGGAATAAGAATCCTAAATTTAGAATGTTGCTTCAATTCTGAATCTGGTCTGCTTTATTTAATACAGTTTATGTAGGCGTTAGAACTGCCAGTAACACCTTTATTGCACTGAATAATTTATATTTAGAAAGCATAGCTAATTATGGGTACCTGGAAGCATGATACAGACATCTGTCAGAATGGTTTCTTTCTGTCTCTTTCCACCCTTTTTCTCTTTAAGTGAGCATCCAGATGAGTGAGGTAGGAGTTTCTGGATGGCACGTTTTATCAGAAAACACTGACTAACTGAAACCAAAGCTTTTTGTGGAAAAATTCTGAGGTGATGCCTGTAGCTTGGAGCTGCAGACAGATGTGGAAGCTTATGTATAAAGTCTCTTCTGGTAATCAGGATGAATTTGAATCTGGATCTCCGGTCTACACAGTGAATAAACTATCTACTGGCTATTTGAAAGTCTCATTGATATATAAATATCTGTGTCCACCCTTCTCTCACACTTTTGCCCCATGTTTAGAAATGTTCTAAGTTTATTGTGACAACAATGTATTTTTGTTTTGGTTTACTGAAACTTCAAAACCTTTTTTATGAAACAAACACTTGTTTTCCAAACAGATTTTACTGTAGAATTTGCTTCTTCTAAAGTTCCCAATATTAAAAGCAGGTTCTTAAATATGTCACTGTTCAGCCGAATTCTCAAGTGCATGGTTAGAGCTGAAAAATGTGCTTATGTGTTCTGTTTTAGGGATCTGAATCTAATTGATCTTGATGTTAATCTAATTGATCAGTCAGTACTGGGCCATGTATGGAAAGCAGAATAGTGATGATGAAAAACTCTGTTCTTCTGGCAGTGCAGAGTAGTGACGGATAGAATATTTCCTAATGCTCAGTCCAGCCTTGTTTAAAATGTGCCAAGAAACAGGGCTTCCACCACTGTTTTAGAAAACTTCTTCCATTGTAAAATAGGTCTTGCCATTAGAATGTTTTTCTTGATGATTCAGCCCAAATTTTCATTTCTTAATTTCATCCCATTACTTGTAGAATTTCTATAGCAACTAGTTATAACTGTTTCCATTGCCAAGTGTTTATCCAATAATTGAATCACCACTACTGAGCAAAAATTGAGGCTTCATTCTTTTTCATTAAGAAGCAGTAGATGCATGAAGTGTTTATTTTATAAGCTTTGTTGATTTCTTAAACTTGATTCCAGTGTCTGTTTTCAATACTCATCTGTTGAGAGATATTTTGATAGTGTTAACCCACAAACTGTGAGTGTGGCCAGCAGGTCGAGGGAGGTTCTTCTTCCCCTCTGCTCTGCCCTAGTGAGGCCCCATCTGGATTACTGTATCCAGTTCTGGGCTCTCCAGTTCAAGAAAGATGAGGAGCTACTTGAGAGAGTCCAGCGGAGGGCTACAAAGTTGATTATCGGACTGGAGCATCTCTCCTATGAGGAAAGGCTGAGGAAGCTGGGCTTGTTTAGCCTGAAGAAGAGAAGGTTGCGAGGGGACCTTATAAATGCTTATAAATATCTGAAGGGTGGGTGTCAGGAGGATGTGGCCAAACTCTTTTCAGTGGTGCCCAGCGACAGCACAAGGGGCAATGGGCACAAACTGAAGCACAGGAAGTTCCATCTGAACATGAGGAAGAACTTCTTCCCTCTGAGGGTGACGGAGCTCGACAGGTCCCTGTGCAGCCGTGTGTAGGTGACCCTGCTTTGGCAGGGGGGTTGGACTAGATGACCCACAGAGGTCCCTTCCAACCCCGAACATTCTGTGATTCTGTGATCCCTGTAGCTGTATTCCAGTCTTGTATGGATGTGTGACAGATCTCTCCAAATCTGCTTAGACGTGAATGGTTTTGATAAATACCACTGAGGAATGTTATCTTTTACCCTTTGTCTTAGAACTTGAAATATTATATAAAATGACTTCCTGAACATATTTACTATTCCTTCTTTATGATTGAAATATATTGCTCAATATAGAGTTAGATATTAACAGAGAGAAAACATTGCAGTTGTCCAAAAGTGATTTGGTGATCAGCTTTTTGTCCTGAGCGAAGTAGATCCAGTCTACTGAAATAAGCAGCTAAGCTGTTTTTTATGGTTTCAAGTCAGGTAGTGCCAAGTTATTATTTGGCCTTTTGTTGCAATCACTCAAGGGAGCTTGCAGACAAATTGTCAGATAAATATCTTCAGTATCCATAGGAAAAGTTTTGGAATTCCTCATATCTGACAGTGAGGATAATAGAAAGAACTGCTGTTTTGGCTTGTGTTTCCAATTGCCAATTGCTTTTACCAAAGTGGATTCTTTCTTCCACTGAAATGAGAACTCATTTGTCAAAGTTCCAAAGTTGTTTTATCAGTGTATTTTGGTTTAATTTTATTCATTTTTTAGAGAAAGTACTTAATACCTTATTTAGTAATATTTCACTCATCCAGAGTAAGCTGGTGAGAAATTTGGTAAGGTCAGTAGGTCTGTGGTATTTTCAGGAAGAGGTAGGAGTGACGCCATGCCAAGTTTAGAGAGTTTCCTTTTTCGTCGGGAATTGGGACTGGATCATAGAATTATCACAGCTCCTACAGAGATTTTCAAAGCTCTATTCAAAGCTTTTTTTCCTCTTGTTCAAAGCTGAATTGCTACTTCTGAACCTCCATAAGCCTTATTGAGACATTACAGTAAAATTTATTTTAAAAAATTTAGTGATTTTAAATTTTTTTTCTTTTATGTATTGAATCTTATTTAAAGATCAACAAACTCTCGTCAGTCAGCATACCAATGTAACGTAGTTTATATGGTGATACATAATGTCTTTCCACTGTTTGTTCATCATTGAAAATATGAATATTATTATAGTATATTACTACTATTTTAGACATAAGGATTTAAAATATGTTTGCTCTTTTAGGGTGACCGTGGACTACCTGGTTTTCCTGGATTACATGGGATGCCAGCACCAAAGGTTGAAATTAAATATTTCTTGTTACAATATTCGTGTGTCTCAGCTTGCTCTGTAGTTTAACTGAGAGGAGAAAAATGCTTGTATGCGACATCATGTCAGTGCATTTGATGTACTACATAAAATGAATAGATACGATGCTGAAACTGAAGGAAGATACATGCCATGGGACTTCGTTACATACATACCAAGCAATAGAAACTGTTTTTTCATTTTTGTTCATTTTAATTTCATTTCGTTTTTTCATGTTTGTTCATTTTATTCATTTGGGGTTCTATGTATTAATTACTATGAACTTTGATTTCACTACTACTCAGAACTTTCTTTATCACAAATAATGTGTCAAAAAAATAAAAATAATTTGAGTGACAGAATTTTGAAGGATAGTTCTGATCTAACCCAATGAGTTTATTGTATGTTCCCCAAAACTTCATTAACTATCTTTTGCTCTTCTAAGTACTCAACTGGATTTACTTCTTAGTTTTTCCAAATTTGTGTTTTAAACTTCTCAAATAAGGTCCTCAGAAGAGTGCAGCACTTTTCAAAGAGATGAATTTTCACTCAGGTACTTACCCATATTGAAGTGACCAGAAATTCAAAGTGCATTCTGTTGAACATAGAAGCATTAAGCCTGTGACCTGTGGATAGTCTCATCAGCAGTATTGCATGTTCTGGGCTCCTCCCCTAGGAGAGTTTGGAAAATTCAGGATTTGCATTTACTGTCTTGAGCATATTTTTTTATATCTGATGGAGCTCTTTGCAGCTTCATTTTATGTCTCCTACATTATACTTTGTGTATATGTCTGTATATAACGACTTCTATTTTGAAAATTAACTTATTCACTCACATTTTGTCTAGGGAGAAAGGGGTCCTAAAGGTGATCAAGGAGTGCCAGGAATATATGGAAAAAAGGCAAGTAAATTTATAAACATAAAATTAAGTGACATAGTATTGGTATCTGGAGGGAGGTGACTTTGCATGGCTGCCTGATGCCCCCCAGCCATTCTTTCATTCCCCCTCCTCAACAGTACATGGGGATAAATAAGATTAAAAGCTTGTGGATCCAGATAAGGACAGGGAGATCACTTACCAATTATCATCGTGGGCAGAACAGACTCGACTTAGGGAAAAGTAATTTATTGCCAACTGAAATAGGTTTGGATAGTGATAAACAAGGACAAAAACTAAAACCACTTCCCAGGACACTGCTTTTTCCCGGGCTCAGCTTCACGCCTTCCTGGGATGAGGAATGGGTGGTCAGTGCGTAACAGCTCCTTTCTGCACTCTTTCATCCTCACGTTTCTACCCCGCTGTGGTGTGGGTCCTTCCCCCAGGCTGCAGACCCTCAGGACAAGCCTACTCCTGCCTGCGGTCTCCACGGGCTGCAACGCCGTGGTCCTCACCACCGGCTGCAGGGGAATCTCTGCTCCAGCACCTGAGCACCTCCTCCACTCCTTCTCTCGCCTTGGTGGTTGCAGAGTTGTTTCTCTCACTTTTTCCCTCACTCCTTACTTTGTCCCCATCATGCTTTTGACCTTTCTGACACACATTTTCTCTGAGGCATATACTTATGTCTAGTAATGTTAAACTCATGCTCTGCTTATTTAGATATTTTGAGAACTCAATCCTTCTGTTAATGGATCAATGTAATTAATTTGAACATAACACAAAATGCCTCTAAAGATATTTTTTGCAGATATGTCTATGCCTTTTATATGGGGTATGTGTAATAATTATATTGCAAGGAAATCTGTGCTTTTTAATGGGTAGAAATGTACATGAACCATAGAAATGAAAGGGGGAGAGGGAGAGGAGTAAGGGAAGTGCAGAGAGGAGCACACAAATGGAGTGAGGCTGTTAGCAGCCTGGAAAAGAAGTGTTATTTTAATCCATAATTTATAAAAAACAGGATGTGTGATGTAATACAGAGAGAATATTTTGGTCATCCAGTAGCAGTTATGTTTTCACTTGTGCTTATATTTTCTTCATGTATTTATCAGTCTAGAGTTTTAAGCAATTTGAAAGAAGGTCTGTGGTCACATTTCTATATTTTAGAGCATTTTTACGTTTCTGTAACAGGGGGTAGTTATTAATTGACCACTGCCTTGTGCTAAGAAGGAAACAGATCTTCCATACCTTTTCAAAATGAGCAATAGCATATGTGAATTATAGGTTAAATATACTGAATCTGCAGCATAAATATTGAGCGCTACTTACTTTTCATTTGCTGTATTTCTCAGGGTTCAAAAGGAGAGAAAGGTGATGCAGGGTTTCCAGGAATACCTGGGCGATCTGTAAGTTTTGCAAAGACTATTTGCTTTTAACTTTTGCTTGTTAATTCACCTACTGATGACTGTTAACTGTTGCCACAGGGAGACCCTGGCAGAAGTGGGAAAGACGGATTACCGGGAAGTCCTGGTTTAAAGGTAAGTACAAATGTACATTTGTGTCTTGCCAAAGTCTTCAATAGCATTGCTGTTGGTCTAAATATACCCAGTTTATTCTGTGGAGAATTACTGGAAATTAAAATAATGCGTGCTGCTGGGAAATGCCAAAATTAATTGCAGTCATTGGGCAGACTTCATTGATTTCAGCTGGTTTGTGAGCAGGGGCAAAGCTTTTATTAGGAGTCTCTTAGTGATCATCAGAGATTGTTTATGCTTCGTCTTCCTTATCCTGTCTGTGTTTCTCTAACTCTGTGAATCTGTTAGTGAAATTTATATACAAGCGTATGCTGCAGAACATACCTGTTGTATACAGTTAAGAAGTAAATCTAATTATTATTATTGCTTTTGAAGGGAGCTGGATGAAAGTTAGGGAAGAACACCTCCAGTGTTGTATTCAAGTTTATGTTTGTGTTCTCTTCACTGTGCAGTGCCCTTTATATTTAATTGAGAACAGTTTTTCAAGTGGACTAAGTATCTGTCCACTGTAAAGAAGACTACAGGTTCTGATATTTCTATAATGTATTGCAGTCTGTGAGCTCATTTTCTTTATCTGATTGTTGTTTTCATTGTTCTAATTTGTGAAAAGATGGATTTCGGCAGTATCAGTTTTAAGTTCACAGGAAAAGATTTTTATTAATATGCATTGTAAATGTTCAGCTGAATTGATGTGAAGAATCTTTTTAACAGCAGCTTTGTTCCTGTAATATTTTTCTTAATAATAATAAAGTGATCTAGGGCTGCTCAAGATTAATGTTTCTTCAGTGTCCAAAAATGCCAGTGTACTTTTAAGTGCATTTGTCTAAATTCTTGTTACTGTAGTTGGAGATCTGGGTCTTTCTTCCATTTTGTGACCATGCTTGTCTAGAGCAGTTGGACATACCATGGCATGTCTGTGACATCTGCTGCAGCACGGAGATATGACACAAGACCTATGAGAGACCTAAACCCTTCCAGGCAGCAGCTGCCAGCAGGGTGGATGCAGCGGGATTCCAGGCTCGCTCAGGCTGGAGGGGACTTTGAGGCATCTCCTAGTCCAGCCTCCTGCTCACAAACGGGACAGCACTGAATCCACACCAGGTTGCTCAGGGCTTTTCCAGATGGGTCTTGATAACCTCCAAGGATGGAGACTGCACAGCTGGGCAGCTTGTTCCATTCTTGACTGTCTTCATGGTGAGAAATTTTTCACCCTTATTTGCAGCAGAAAATGGCTTTACATGTCTGTGTCTTGACAACTGAATCAAGCTCTTAGTGAATCTAATAAATGGAGCCTCTAAAGTAATTCAGCTGCAGACTGTTAGCTACTATAGTGAGATCACTTAGAAGTATGCAGTCCTGTTTGCTGGTTTTGGGTACCCCAGGTGACCTGTAAATGCCATTTCAGAATGACAGAGGTCTCCTGTAAGTGGTACCTGCCAGTAATGTGGAAGCCTTGGCTGCCCTACAGCACCTCAAATAGCACCAGGCATTTATGGTTAGGTAACCGAATCAAGCCCCTGATTACTGTAATGAGAACTTAGATCATGAGTGTATCTCTAAACAACTTCAAGTAGAAAACCACATGTAGATGTCTTAATCTGAAGTTAAAGGGGAGAGTGATCACATATATAACACTACAGCAGTAAAAATTGCCTAACTTCACTGTATAACTAAGCATCCTGCAATTCAAAAATTTATTAGGAGAATACATCTAAAATAACAGCCTTTAAAAAGTACATATAAAATTTAACTTTTACTGTAGGTAACTCAGTATTTCCCATTTTGTTTGTTCTCTTTGGAAGACCTAATGAGGCTGTGTTAAAAGGTAGCAGAGTAACTTTATTGTATGTCAAATTGATGTAGTGCTTTTTTTTAACCGCCCCTAAGTTTACACCCTTAAAATACATAGGTAAAAGTAGTTGTAAATCTTAATTATGAAAAAAAAAATAGTTCTTATTGCTTATTTTTCTGAAGTTAACTTCAGCAACCAACAGCTGAAGGACTTTTTCTTTATTTGTTACTTGGTTTAGTTTTAAATACTCTGACATTAATTTCATTTTGATCTTCAAATCCCACTGATACCTGCCTAGGAATTGTCAATATGTATCTACAAGAGTATGTATCTCTGACACTTGCAAATATGTCGGGCAAAGACAATTTAACATTCTTGAAATGCTCAGGGAAGTTTGTGTCTATGGATGTAGTAGCTACTTGTGTTGCCATTAAAGTCAATGGAGGTCTAACCAGTAACGCCAGTGAAGTCTGGCGATCCATTCAGCTCAAAGAAGGCAGACTTGTAGGTACCAGTTTAGTTGCCTACATAAAAGCATCTGGTGTATTTAAGATGTATTAATGTCTAAAGCATCCTAAGGATGCTGACAAACGTGACGTAAGTCCTGTGGAAAGCCGGTGCCTTTCTGGAGTGGGAGTAGGAACCAAGGCAAGATGCCCTTTGGTATCTCAAATATGACCAAATGTCTATGTGGGGGCGATGAAACTGAGCTCCTGGTAGCTGGTCAGCTGAATCAAGCCTTCATGAGTTGTCTTGACTAGGCTTCTGTTGGCTGTGACAGGAGTTTAGTTACCTATGTGAATTTATTTCAAATGAATCCTTGCCTTATTTTCAATGTATGTATAGACATACATATATACACACAGATATCTCTGCTACGTTGGTGGAGAAATTCCTTCTCCGGTACTACAGGAAGTAGAAAAAAATAATTAGAATTTTTCCTCTCTGGTGTTTGATAACATGGACAGGTAATAGTCACAGTTGTTTAACATAAAATTTTAACTGTCACTGGTGGCCCTTTAGGGTGAAGTATTATGTGGTTAAAGCATGAATTTGGAGAGTATTTTGATCTGGTTTTATGCTTGTAAACAATATACAGATAGTTCAGTATATTAGTCGAGTGAACGTGTGTACATGTAAACCAAAAGACATTTTCTTGACTGTTTTCTTAATTTAATTATTGTAGTACAAAAATATGACATACTCATAAATTTTGATTCATTTTAGAATATAATAGTTAACAGAAGCCATGTTCTTCATTCAAACATTTTGTCAGCTTGACTTTCAGCATCTGCTTGCTATAAAACATTGCTTCGTTCTGGGTCTGTAATCAAATTCAGAGCAGTAACAAACAGGCTGTCTTTGAAGGAAATTTCTGCTGGAGCTTTCCTGCTTTCTTACAATGTTCAGTCTGGGAAAGAATGTGGGAAAAAAGTGTGGCTTGAAGCCCAGAGGCTACCCATTGTTACTTCCAGTCCAATTTTTGTAATTTGAAGTTAATTATTACCAGATTATTTTATACATATATATATATATATAAATAAATGGATCTTGCATTTGTTTTATGTGCTTTTATTTCTGAAATTACTCTTAAAATTTTCAGAATATTTTTTGTATCATATATATTTTGAGTAAGGACATAAAGATTTGATCATATCTGGTACTGCTGTATTCTGGAGTGCTTTGAAGTAGTTTTCAGACTATTAGTTGTACCAACAATTAGACAAGAGCAATTTATTACTGGTTTAAGCACTTCTTCAACCTGTAATTGCTGTTCTGATTCAAAAAACAATTGTCTCTCCCATCTCTTTTTGCAAACTGTTTGACAGCTGTCTGTCGGACGCAGCATGAGGGAATGTCGTATTGACGACACTTCTTACTGTCTTTGAAACTGTTTTTAAGAGATGTTTGTTTGATGAATCATGTATATTGGGTTTACGTTTTACTTATCCTAGAACTAATAATTTATTATTATCTTTATTATGCAAAGGAAGGTCTTTTTTTTGAATATTATATTTAACAGTCTTTTTAATTTAAAGGGAGAAGTTGGACAGCCTGGATCTCCAGGCCTAGAAGGACATCGAGGAGAGCCAGTAAGTTATTAAATTGCTGACATTCCCTATGTACTGATTTGTTTGTTTGCTTTTTTTTTTTTAATTAATGAATGTTGTACTTCATGTTCCATCCATTTTGATTTGGAATGGTTGATATGTCTATTTTTGTAAAAGTTCTTTTTTACTTTGTGGTGTTCATTTTTAAATTTAGGTTTAGTAAAAGAAATAAACAAGCCTTTAAAGTCAAAGATGCTTTAAAAGAAAAGATTGCTATGTTGCTATATAAAACTATATTGCTGTTATACACCAATTTGCATATATGTTATAAAATTGTCTCATTATTGACTTCTTTCCTATTGACAGGATGACATGGTTAGATACTGATAGTTACATATATGAGGAAAGATTCTGGGTGTTTTTAACTCTCATTACTGCAACATGGTCTATGTTCTTTCATAGACTTGTTAATTGCACTTTTAAAGTCTATTTTTTCACTGTCTACCTCGCCCTCTCCTTTGTCCAATTTTATTGGTCTTGTACTTCCTTGCTTCTTGTTACACTGTCTGTGTTATCTCTATCTCTGTTCTTGCTTAGCTGGGGAACATGCTGCTGCATTTTTGTTTTGCTTGTTTGCAAAGACATTGTTCCTCTACCGGTGTTTGGGCAGCTCCTCAGGGCAGCTCGTTTTTTCCTCCTCTTTTTATGTGATAGCTAGGCTTTGTCCTTCTTGTTTCCTTGTTTGGCTTTTTAAGGCCACCAGACTTTGCCTGAAGCAGAGGAGCTGAGATATCTGTAGAAATAGCTGAAAGCTTGGAGTGCCAAGAGAGAGCCAGCTGTCTTCAAACCATCAGTAATTCTTCTGTAGGCTAAGAGCAGTAAATGGAGTTTGGTTGGTGGAACACTGCCTTCCAGATGAATTATATTCTGATTTACATTTTGAATTATAAGATAAGGAGATGCCGCTTTATACATTCAGAAAATTTTGTTGTATTGAGCGTAACACCAAGAGGCAATGTGTGTTGTATGGTACTGGAATCTGGTAGAGAGTAGTGATAACTAAGGGATGGAAATAATGCTCCCAGCTGAAAAATTTTCAAGCTCTTTCATTTAGATTTTTTATATGTTCACCAAAACCTCATAAAAATACTGTGAGTAGACTGCAAAACACTGGGCAATCATTCCCAAGTGACTTTCTTCCCGGTTGGCTGGCTTAAGTGAAGAATACACATAATTCCTCACTTCGCTCTATTTTTTCCTCTTTTTCTGCCCCAAATAACTGTGAGATGTATTAACCTTTACAGTCTATTGTATCTTCAGATGTAAGAAAGACTGAAAGTGAATGTTCATTAAAAAACATGGAATAGAAATGGAGAGGTTTTGGTATATTGTTAGTCAGTACACTATAACAAGTATGTTGAGATAATAACCAGATTTCTGTTGTTTTCCCTTGCCCTGTTTTGTCTTTTTTCATTTTTAGAAAAAATGTTAGTAATTGTGATTTTTTAAAAAAATTAGTTTAAAAAATAGGAAGGAGAAGGCATTTCTGACCTAGGGAAAACTACCTATTTAATACTTTAACAGCTCTCTCTGATCTGATAGCTTTGGTTAAGTCTGACCTATAGCTACTACAGAAATATATTTTGGTTCAAAATTAATGAAAATGTTATATTGTGAAGCATTTATAACAGCAGTGTAGACTCATCAAGTAAGTCCCATACTTCTGCTTTAAAGAGAAACGAAGTGGCAGATTTAAGACATTAAAATCACTGTGAAGTCTTTTAAAATAGAGGAAGACTTCTAATATATAAACAACTAAAAAGATTTACACAATCCTAACAAGGCAAGCCAGATGATTGCACTATGTGGTTCATTTATGAACAGTGGAGGTTCTCCTGAAGAGCAGAGTCTACACGCTGACCAGGAAATTGCCTCGAGGTAGCCAGGAGGAAATGTAAGACATCTGGCCAAACCTGCTTGTCTGCCTCTGTTGCTGACATAGCACCAGACTGCATGTGCAAACATGGTGCTTCCATCTATTTAGAGCCTGGAGAAGGAGCAAAGGGCATCTCTGTGCAGCAACTTTGTGGTAAAAGTGTGTGCTTGAGCTGTGCAGAATGAAGCTATCCTCAGCCGTGGGATATGTGGGCTCCGCTATTCAAGTAGAGGGTAGTTGGCTTTCATCTGATGGAAAGTGAGCTGGATTGTGGGGGCTGTGAGGGATGTCTTGTGCAACTGGTTGCTTCTGTTATTTCTGTTGTTCCTCCGATGTGCATTTGATGTATAACGTGTAAATGCCTCCTCTCTGCTCCACTTCTGTGCAATTCAGTGTGGTCTTCTCTCGTCGGTTACCCTAGTAGTTAGGGCCCTGGTGTGGGAGAGAGGGACTGAGCTCTGCTGTGCCCTCCAAGTGACAGACAAATAGGCTGCCTAAGGTCAAGACAGGCCTTGGATGATACTGTTGAAACTGTATGACTCCATGTCATTAACCAGCCAGATGCAGCTGTGGCCCTGGGACAGCTCAGCGAGTTGCATGGATACCCCACCCACACAAACGCACATGCAAACAATCTTTATTTCTTCCATTCAGCCACATTAGTGTTAGACATGGCTTAATTTGTTAAGTTGGTCTATATTAAAAATAGCCATCTTCTGATCCCTCTTGCTTCAGCAAATAAAAAATGCATGGCTGCAAAATTAATGCATCTTGAGACAACATCTAAGAGGCAACTGGCTAGGATGGAGAGCACAGTTGAACTGAACTACCAATGCCTCCATCCTCTGAGGTGTGGTTGTTTTCTGGACAACATACTTTCTGGTATATTATTGCTCTTACTGATCCCTATATTTATGAATGGGAAAAAGTAGGTTGCAAAGCTAAGTAAATAATTCCAAGTGATGTGATTGTTTTCCCTCAGTAGTACTATTTGGAACTGAAGTTAGCCAGGCCATCTGAATCCTACCCACTCTGTGTAAGAAAAATGTTTGACAGTATGGACAGAATAATTTAGACAGCATTTAGTAAAGCTAGTATCAAGCTCATTTTACTGATGACAAAAATAGGCCACGCTCCAAGTGGAGTCATGCTGTCACTTGAGTAGTTTAATGGCTGGTCATGTATCTTACTGATGACAAGCTGTTTTGATAAATACTTTTTTTGAGGGGCCAACTGTCTAAAGGATACAATAAATCAGGATTTATTTGAGCTTAATTTTAGCCTGGTTGTGCTTTTTAACATAGGTAGAATTTTGTTAGAGTTCGGTTTCAGTAGAAGCTGTGTTCAACTTCTTGTGTTTAGAATCATGCAGATGGGAACTCTGAAGTGAGTGCTTGTGGGTGAAGCTGGCAAGACATTTATAGCACTCTTCTAGGCTTAGCATAGGCTGTCCTGCCACAAGTAATACATCTGAACATTTGCAACTGCTTGTGTTTACTCTCCAGAAATCATATTTTTCAGAAATACAGCTGCAAACACTTAAAATGGTAGAGTTTGCCCTTAATATTTAGGTCACGTCACAAGCCCTCAGATGTGGCCTCATTTGTGCCAGCGACAGCAGCATAACATGGCTTTCAGCTTCTGACCCGACTCCCGCTCTTATACCTGTACTCCCGGTTTGTCTGTGGATCTCTTATAACTGCATCAGGAATGTCAGATCTAGATCAATGTATTCTCTGAAAAATGTGTATTACATGCTAGGGTATGGTTGCAGAATTCTTCCTGAAATGTGTTCAATACAAACTGAGGATACAGAAATCTCCAGCAGAAGTTGCTGTATTTTTCTTCATAAAGCAGAAATCTTTAAAATACAGTATAGAAACTGGTATAGCCAGCTAGCCTTTATATTTGGAAAGCAAACCTAAAGTTAATGTAATTCTACTGCATCTGTAGCCATGCTGAAATTGATGGAAACAGGAACCAAGGAAAGAAAATTCCTTAGTTATATGGTAGTATGCAGAAGAAAAATTTTTTTTCGTGTTTTTTTCTTCTGTGTACTGTGTAATAACTCCCCTGATCCCCATCCCTCATTGTACAGGTTTCCAGATCTGTTTCCTATGAATAAATTTGCTTTACTGGAACCCTCAGAGCACAACACCTTGAGGCAAGATGGCTAGTTAAAAGGTCTTGTGTTCAGTGTTGCCTCTCTTGTCTATTTTTGCATAGGAAACCATGAAAAAATCAGACACAAACCACAGAACTACTACCAACTGTGTTATCTGTGTACTGACAATATTCCTTAGAGAACCTGTTCTTGAAACAAATGCCTGGCAGCCAATCATAATAATAATATAGGAAATAATGATATTTACTTATTAAAATGTAAATATAGCTGATTCCAGTGAACTTTCTCCTTCAGTACAGCTTTACGCATATCAGACTGTAATTTCATAAACTGACATATATAAATAAGCAAATATTTTGAGAAGGAGGAAATTCGGAAAAATTATATTTTGAATATATTTTCCTGCTGCAACAAAATTTTCTTTCACTTTAGTTGCACCCTTTTATGCTTTTAGCCGTGTGTACATTCTTTTGAGAATCACTGAGGAGAGAAATATTAACACCACAACCACCATATCTGAGTGAAAAATGTGAAATGAATGAATGTTGTGTAAAGAGTAACATCTTTTATAAGATTATTCAATACAGTTAGATGAGTTGCACAGTTTTTAAGGTGTTCACGCCCCTCTTCAACAGATTCTACAACAGATTCAGAAAGTAATTTTAACTAGATTTCTGTACATTTAACTTGGTTAAGTTAGGTAGACCATATGAGAGGGAAAGTAGCCAGTTACCTGTGGAGTAGGATAGTACTGTGAACAATGGAAAACTTGGTAATTGTTTCAAACTATTCATGGAACTAAACTTAATATTCACAGTCAAAACCTTTGCGATAGTGGAGTGTAAGAGCTGGGTTGGTCTGTTTAGGAGGAAAGCTACTATTCTACTTTAGTAAAATAGCTCGAATTTTATGCTTTTAGTGGTCATATTTATCATAGAATCATAGAATAGTTGGGGTTGGAAGGGACCTTGAAAGGCCATC